CAAGAGGCAGCCTCCGCTAGAAAGCAAGTTCAAAGCCAGCCTGGGCAATGTGAGACCCTACCTCAAAAGCAACAAAACAACAACCCCCTCAAAGAGTAGGGAGAACAAAGGTACTGACAGGGAAGCCGAATCATCACAGGGGCATGGAAGTTTGGTGCGCAGGTGGAAACCGTCCTCAGCCACTCCACCCCTGAGCTGGCAGAAATTAGAGTTGTTCTGGGCCATGTGTTATTCCTAAAATGAACTGCCCACTGACGCCAAGAGGGTCTCTGCCCTGCTGTGGATGGAAGCGCAGGAAACTGCTGTGGGATACTCGGGAAACAGCTGAGGCCCCGCTCTACTCGGCTCCTTAGACAGAGCCCACGGGGGCGTATCTTCCCACCCCCAATATCAGTCCTAGCCTCTCTGAATCAGGCCTCACCATGAAGACATTCCAGGATTCAAGTACCAGATAACGCTGAGCCCAAATCAGTGTGGGGAATGGACCAAACAGGGACAGTCCCCGCTTTGTATTCCCTGACACAGACATACATAGGTGCATGTACAGACCCACAGCTGGGTACGAGTCCAACGGCCCCATCCCCAGCTTCTTGGCAGACTAGACACACAGCTGCTTGGGGGAGGGAGCTGAGATCTGCTGGAATGCAAACCCATGCCCTCTTCTGGGAATTTGGGCAAGGTTCTCCAGACCCCTGTCCCATCTTTTCACCCCTGCTCTTCTCGCTGCTTCCCTAGACCAGCCTTTCCATCTCCTCTGAGACTATGGCCACCCTACCTCCATTTTCCTCACCACGGCAGTCAGCTAGCCTTGAGTGCGGACTGTGCAGAAAGCCTGAGAACCAGGAGCTGAACCCAGGGAAACCCAAAGTCCAGTTGGCTCCTTCTCTGGAGCAGCTGCCCGGCCTAACGAGGTACCAGAACACAAAGATAGGAAGACAGGAAACAGGAAGCAGGGGAAATTACTCAAGAGATAGTCATCAGAGGGAAACATGGTACTACACTACCCAGGACACAGGCAGGGCTTGAGGCCACAGCCCACGCTAAAGGCCCATCCTAGAGGGGAAAAGGCATTTCAGGAGAACAATGCATCGAAGAGAGTGGACGAGAAGGCAGCTGGAATGGAACCACTTATATGGAACATGACGGGTTCCTCCAGCCGGGCAGAGAAGTCCTGTCTATACTGTCTATACTCAAACTCCTTTCCAAGCCAATTTGCCCTTTCAGGCCCAACTGTTAGCTCTAAATCTCTGGTGTCAAGCATAGGCTCTGCAGACAGGAAACACTCAGGAAATGTGTTCCTAGAAAGTGGCAGGCTGGGAAAGTGGGTCTGCCGGCAAAGGGATGGGCCCCTGTTTTCAGAGCTTCCAAAGAACTCAAAACAGTATCTGAGACAGTTCTGTGTCAATGTTAAGATGTTCTAGACCCAGCTCTGCTACAGATAAGGAGGTCACTTCCCCTAACTAAGGCCCAGTTTTCTTTTGTACAGAACGAGGGCATGTGACCAGCTCACAGCTAAGAGCTTTTCTTTCAGGTGCTGGTATTTTAGGAATTTCTCCGAGGACCTTTGGCTGTCCTCTTCCATACGGTCTGCCCGCCCAGCCCTCACCATACCACAAGGGGGAGCTCTACACAAGCCCCAGAGAAGGACCTTAGCCCATGCCTAACAGGTGTGCTGGGCTGTAAGCATCAGGAAAACCTAGACATCCCACTCCCCAGCAGCCTGGCACATGGCATTTTGGCACGTTCCTCTGATGTATCAGGCTGAGGTAGAAAGTTTTGCCTTTGACATATGTCTTCAGCCTCTTCAATCTAACCCTCACCCCACAGAGGGATCTTGGCTCTCTGGATCACTCTTTCCTATATACCATGAGTAACTCTTCAGCTTCCTTACTCTGTGTAATTTTCAAGGAAGAAAAAGACCCACCACTAGGATTTGAATATTTTAATTTGAGAATGACTTGGAGGCACAGAAACCTACCCCGACCCCCAGAATGTCACCACTTTTCACAGATCCCCTGGGACTTCTCAAGCACATATCTCTGTGGACGTGGAGAAGATGGTGGGCACTTGGGAGGTTCAGTGACTCCAAAGGGGACACATCCGGGCTCTGCACTTCCTGTGTCTGGTCGTGGGAGCCAGGTAACCCTGGAATCACTGCTGGTCCCCTGTGGAGATGCAGCCAGGCAGGGAAACCATGCATGAGGACAGTATCTGGGACAGAGGTAGGGGCATCTCCTCTCTCAGGGCATAGACACTCACCCTCAGTGGTCCTGGGCATCAACTCAGTCCGGTAGATCTTGAATGCATCGTAGGCAAAGACAGAGACCAGGATGATGCCAAAAACCTGCGGGGAAGAAAGGAATGGAGGTGTCACAGCAGAGGCTGTCAACTAGGGGAGTGGGGCCAGGAAGAAGTGGGGGGATAAGGTATGAGCAGATGCAGGCTTTGGTTTGGACACAGGAAGTGTGCCAATACCCCGGCCACAAGTCCTGGGGGCTGGCGATCAGGGCGGGGACGGACTCACAAAAGCAGCAATGGCGGCTCCCTCCCTCGAGGTCACAGCAGCAAAGGAGACCACCAGGAAGATGATGATGGCGCTGATGCAGCGTAGGAAGTCCTGGGGAGCCAGAGGCAATGGGGTGTGGGGATCATTACCTGGAGGCTTTCCAAGCTACTCAGCTCTCCCAGTCTGCTCCTCCTAGACTGAATTCCTGCCCAGGGATGGCCCCTAGACACGTGTGAAGTACTTTCAAGGGAGTGAGCTCATAACACTACCCAGAGGATGGAAGCAGATCAATCTAGATCAGCCAGGAGGCAGAGCCAAATGGAGCAGGCCTGAGCCAAGCCTCTGATGCGTGGGAGAGCAGGGCTAGTCTGTATGTCCTTCCTGACAGGGGCACTCTGATGGGCCAAGGTTCACTTTCGAGCGCAGGACACAACGTGAGTCAATGCACAGCTTGGTTGTGGAAATGAAGGGGAGCCATGAGACCACAGGAAAACTGGGCAATCAGAAGAAGGAAGAGACCAGGGTGGGGTGGGAGAGGCATGCTCCTCACCAGACAAGGCCAGTTAAGCCTATCGAAGCGCTGGTAGTACTGGGTGGCATAGAGGAAGAGGAAGGCTAGCGTGATGAAGAACTCCAGCAGCGCGGCAGCCATGTAGGCGGAGATGGAGGCCGTGAAGCAAATGAAGATGATGAAGGTCAGGGCCTGCGGGACCAAGCATGGGGCGCTGTCTGAGGAGACCCACTCGTAGATCAGGCCACGGTAGTCGGGGCCCCCTTTTCTCTTGTTAGCCAGCCTCACTGAGAAGGAGGAGTTCTCAATGAAGACAAGGAAGTCTCCCATCCCTGGTGTCAGGGACCATCAAGGACATCTCCATCCTCCCACGCCTGCTATCCCAGGAATCCCAGCAACTCCAGATGTTTGGTCAATCTGCACATCCCCCGGGGGAGTCCCCCGGAGCACAGAACACAGTGCACACACCACAGAGGCCAGCCACAGCACCTCTGCCCCACAAAGCTTTCCCTACTCCAATGACAAGAGCCAGAGCCTTTGATTCCATGCTGAGAGAGGCTGAGAGGACAGGACGGCAGATAGGAAAGAGGCCCCATGTTAGCGTTGTGATCTTGCTCAAGAACCAGGGAAAGCCTGAGGGTAGATGTTCATGGGCCGCAGCTGACAGATAAAGCATGGCTACAGGAACTCTACCCTTTTGGATACCTAAACTTAGACATGCCAAGAAGCAGCCCCAGGAGCTGGAGGGAGACAGAGGAGCCTCCTTCTTGCCCATCCTCTCCCCACCCCCTACCAACATCTCACTCCCTCAGTATCCTGGAAAGCTATCTTTCCATCTAACTTGGAGCAAATGGTGCGTGCTGTAACTGTCTCCAGAGAGAAGCAGCCAGAAAGCTAAGAGTTGCAGAAGGAATGAATGCCTGGGAGTGGAAGGACAGAGACCTAGGAAGGGGCCTGTGAAACGGTAAGCATAGGAGGCCAGCCTAGGAGGCCAGCACAGGCCTGCGCCAGGGAGCAGGGACGGGAGAGATGGAGGCACCAGGTTGGGGAGGCGGCTGTTACCAGCTCAGTTTCCAGCAAGATGCCTTTGAGGGAAGACAGGAAGGTCTTGTCCACACCGAAGCCCTGGAGCCCTGCGGCTGCTCCTTCCTCTGGGGGCCGCTCCCGGCGATCCCAAGCACTGAACATGTCTGTGAGGCTCACAGGGCACAGGCTCTCCCTCACCAGACAGCCCAGGAAAGGAAACAGAAATCTAGTTGGGGAAGCCGACAGCGGGGAGAGGGCACTTCAAGAGCCCGAAAGTGAAGCTGGGGCCTGCTGTGGGACTCTGGGAGAAGCAGTACCTCAGGGAGGCTTGCCCAGATGGGCTCACCCAGCTGCCCAGAGTGCCTCTGCTCTTGCCTGCAGGGCCCTTAGGAGGCATGGGGAGGGGTGAGGGAGAGGTGGTTAACCCTCCTCTTCCTCCAGTCTAACCCAAGCTGGAGAAGGAGAGAGGGAACAGGGAGAGGAAGAGATGGCGAAGAGACCAGAGGAGTCGGGGGATGAGAGAGACAGAGGCAGAGCAAGGAGTTCCCCAGTAACAAAGCCTGAAGACACGTATGCCCCCTCCCATAGCCTTAGCCCCCTTCCTTAGCTGGGCCTTTCTCTCTTTTCCTTTAAGGGAGGTGGGAACTGGAGTCCAGCCCAGGCAGTACCCTGCTGGACCAAGCTGCAACAGCCAGGACCAGAGGACAAAGGAGGATTGTTGGGGAGACAAGGGGGCGCTGTGTGTCTACTGCAGTGCCTCAATGGGCTTCTGTCTCTCCCCCATGTTGAGCTGTCTGCCCCCCACCCTTATGTTCAGGGATGGACCGGAGGAGGGGCCGGGTGTTTGCAATGGACACCCGGAAGAGTGGCAGAGTAGAGAAAGTGCTAGAAACGGAAGGGAGACCCAGTTGAGGACCACAGGGTGCTCAGGTACCACGGAGCCAAAGGCAGATGAGACCGGTTTTAAATACAGATATTTATTTTGGATAAATCTCTTCGCGTTCAATAACAGCTCTCTCCTCAGAATTATCCATGTCAAAGTAATTACACCTGGCTGCCTACAGCGCTGGTATCCACCAGCCAACAAAATGAAGGGCAAAGGGGGAAATACAGAGAAAGTGCCTGTGCTGGTCAGGGGAATCCAGAGGGAAGGGAGAGTCAGTAGTACAGCTTCCAGGGACCGGCAGGCCCTCTGGAGACCTTTTCTGGGAGGAAATGCCACGACAGCATCTTCCAAGCAGCCCCGGGCTGCAACTGCTCCTTCCCAAAAGTTCTTTCAAAAAAGTGCAAAAGTCAGGGTTTCTCCCCAAGTTCTCCGTCTGGTCCCAGGATCCTGGTGCTTCAGGTAGGGCTCTGGAGGGCTTGAGCATTCAGGTACCCTGGCCCACTGCGGCAAGATATCAGCCTCAGGTAGGTGGCAAGCGTGATTAAGCCGCCATTGCGCGGGGCCGCACACAGACACAAGCCAAGGAGACGCGGTAGAGCCTGCGCTCCAGGCAGTAGCCATGATGGCAACCTTGCTGTCCGTAGCACGGCCGCCGGTAGAAGACCGTCTGGTTGTGGTAGAGGGGTACCGAGTTGCCCATCAGGTCCATGCGGGAGCCTGTCCGTAGGCTGACACAGTGTGGGCACAGGCATTTTGCATGGTACAGATCCTGGGGGACCCGGTTCAAGTCCCTGTCCAACCTGTAGAAACAGAGCTGATCAGTTCTGGAGGGACAGGCCAGAAGCAAGGGGCAGGTGGGGTGGAGCAGCTGCAGGAGAGAATGGCGAGGCTGTGGACTCGACTTCTTAAATCTGTACTGGCACCCCAGACTGTTTAACTCTGAATGCCACCCCACGCCTCTCTCAGATTTACTTCCTCCAACTCGAGTATAAGTAGGGGACGAAAGAGTAGCTTTCCTAGTGGCCCTGAATGCCAGGCCATAGCCATAGCAGCTTCTTCCCAAAGCACAGGGAGGTGAGTAGCATCCTGCCAGCCTGCAGCACACCAGCCCGGCATCTCTCTGACATGCTGAGGCTTCTTAGTAAGGTATTATATGTTTTGTGAGGTTTTTAAAATTACAATTATTCCAAAACTGGTGTGAGGCCTGTATGGTGGTACATGCCTGTAATCCTGGCACTTGAGGCACAGAGTGCCATGAGTTTGAGGCTAGCCTGTGCCACATAGAGAACTCCAGTCTAGCAGGGCTACTGAAAGAGACCCTGTGTCAAAAAAAAAAAAAAAAAAAACCCTCCAACTGCCTGAAAGCCAAGTACAAAAAGACATATAACAAACATTGACTGTCTCCTTTCATGAGTCTTACTTCCCAGGGAGAGTTGCTCCATATCCACCCTTCCAGATACTGTCCAAGCATATATTACAAGCACATCTAGGACATAGACAAGGATTTTTAACCTATTCAGATAAGATTTGTGGCAGCGGCCAGGCAGTAGTGGCGCACGCCTTTAATCCCAGCACTTGGGAGGCAGAGGCAGGCAGATCTTTGTGAGTTCGAGGCCAGCCTGGTCTACAGAGCGAGATCCAGGAAAGGCGCAAAGCTACACAGAGAAACCCTGTCTCGAAAAAACAAAAACAAACAAAAAAAAAAATTTGTGGCACCAAGAAAAAAAACAAAAACAAAACAAAACCAAAAAAAAAAAAAAACCCAACTACTGAAGATACTAAAAAAAAGTATTGTGTCTAATAACCTAGCAGGAAGCTCCAATATACTAGAACCATTTCCTATTCAAACTCTGGGAAATTGGGGTCCAGCTACTGCAAGCGTTTCCCAGAGCAGATTCCATAATAAATACCCTGGATTTTTTGTTGTTTGTTTGTTTTTAAAGCTTCTGCAATCAAATAAGTTCGGGGGAAACTAATGGTTATTTCTTGTTGATTTCTTGCCAACTTCAATGCACGGAGATCACTGTGAAGGGGTGGGGCTGTGTAGTGTTTCCCAAACTCACTTGACACCATAGTTTTTTGTCTGAGAAACAGCTTGTGGGACACGTGTTGTACAGAGCATATGTTGGAGAAAGTTTGCTAAGTGCTTATCAGGGTTTACTGCCTCTCAGAGAAGAGGATGGGTACAGGTGAGCCCACGCCAAACAGGTTTTCCAGGCAGCCTCTGAGGCTACTCCAAAGTATTATGAACTGATATCTTAGACATAACACCAGCTAGAGCTGACCGGCTCCCTGCACCAGGGAACATCTCCACCACACCCCTCAAAGGCAAAGCTAGGCAACTGAGACACGTGAGGAGTGGAAACAGAGAACCCTGGGAAAATGCAGAACTGCAGAAACATGTTCAGGATCCCTAAGACCCTAATTTGTAATACTTTGTTTCTCTATCCCAATTTCATATCATGGCACAAATAGAGAATTATAGTACTTATGTGACAAATTGTATAAAAGGCCAAGAGAACCATGGTTTTTGATTAAAAATAACAGGCCGAGGGATCTAGCCACCCACCTGCCCCACAAGAGTTGAGTGCCAGCGTTTGGCATAGTGGTCCTTGGTGTCTGCATCGCATATTATTGCATGATACTTTAGTTAGAAAAATGTGAGTTATGGTACAGACCAAACAAGAAACAAAATCAACATGAATACAAGATGCAGATACATTGTTTCGTTTGATCTATATATTAGCCTCTAGAATGTAATCTAGAGAAGGAAGGAAGGAAGCCAGCCTGAACTCGGAAAACATCACCCAACATAATGCAAAGAGGGCAGAGCTGAGGCTCAACTTCAGGCCTGTGTAACTCCCAAACTTGTCTGGTCTGTACAATTAAAAGAGGCTTGTAGGTCAAATTGAATGGAACTTTTTGGGTCCCTCATACATCCCCTGGAGGACACATTCAGGAGGGAAATAGTAGACTCACTCATAGCTCCAAGGAGAGATGGCCCTCCTGTTGAGGGGTCCATCCCTGCTGGCCTTGCAGGATTCTGGGTGGTAGGTGAGACTCAGAGGCTCTGGAGGAGACGTAGATGCAGGGTTCCACGTCAGCAACTCCTGAGTGGAGTCTTGTTCTTTGCTGGGGCAGCAGCTGGGCCAATGACTACAGTCATTCCGGATCTCTGAACTGATGATGTGGGTTCCCATGATCATAGCCAAGAATGCAGCAACCTATAAGCAAAGGCCAGTGAGAAAGGTACTATGAGGTCTCCATCCAATATCAGTCTCCCCTGGCAGCTCCCTGAGACCAGAAACCTGGAAGCTTAGCTTCCCTACACACTCAGTACCATCCCTGCTCCTTTCCCTCTCCGCCAGGCCTCTGCCAGACATCAGGGCCACTCACCTGGTACATGCTGGACACTGCTCACTCAGCCACAGGTGCTACCCTGTCTGACAGGCCTTCTGGAAGCAGGCTGACTGGAGCAGTGGAGGTGTCCTGGTTTTATTTCAGCAAACCTGTTTTGTTTATTCAAATTTATTTCCACTATCTTTTGGAGGGAGTGACCTGAGATTAAAAAAAAAAAAAAAAACCAAAGGGAAAAAAAACCCAAAAAAACAAAAAAACCCCAACAACATAAAGCCCGGGAGTGTTGCCAAAAGCTGTTTAAGTGCTACCCTCATGGAAGCTGTAATGGCTGTCATTATCAGCCTGGCAGCTGATTGGGTAAATTTTGTTCCTTGCACTTTCCGGGCGGGGGTCGTAGTAATAGCTTTCTGTAATTCTGTCTCTGTCTCTGTGAATTGGCATGATGGGAATTTCCCTGGTTGGTATACTACTTCAAATTAAAGAATGTCATCTGGTCTCCCTTCCAGAGGCACCATTTTCACTCCTGCCGAGGCCCTGACCTCCAACTGTCCCTCTTCTTACTTGATGTCCCTGGTCACCTGTCTTAAGGAACATTTCCCTCCTCTGGATCTTTTTTACCTCCCTCCCCTTGTGCTTGGACCCCTCCTCATTTTGATGACCCCAACTCTTTGGAGCACCATCATCTTGTGAGCATGAGTTCTCCTTCACTGTCCATTACTGCCCTCAAAGTCCCTTTGCCTCTCAATTTGCTACCCCATCCCCATCCCTGTCCCTAGACCTTCCCTGACCTCTTCCTGGGATGAGGATGCCGCCCTCATCAGGCAGTGCTACCAGAAGCATACACAGGGGTTTTCTGGTTGGGTGGGCAAGACTTCCTCTGTTTGCCCAGAGACCTCTGCCCCACCCCAATACACTCATACACACTGTCTCTAGAATAATGTCTAGTGATTTGCATGTGCTTTCCCTCAGAAAATACTCCTGAAGTAACCAAGGGATCAGAGAGTAAACAAAGGGAACCAAATAGTGTGTAGCATAAAGGACCATAAAATAGTCTCAAAGAAGAGGTGTCATAACAACGGAGGGCATTCTCAAGAGTTGGAAGAAACTGCTTTGGTGACTCCTGGGGCATGGAACAGTGGGAGGCACATTGGTGGCCAGGGTTAGAACACTGAGGAAGAGCAATAAAGCCAGGAATATCTTCAGTCGATGCCCACGCCCACCCTTGGCCCAGTGCTCCTGGATACCATCTCCCTATATACGCTGCTGGTCTTGCTCCTACGCACTTGAGTGTGCCAGATGTGGTGCTAAACTCTAATCACATCATCTTATTCTGTCCTGACAATAAAACTATGGCATAAAACTATAATCCTCATATTACAGATGAAGAAAGTGAGACCCAACAAAATTTAATAATCTACCCAAGGTTTACACAGTTAGAAAGACTCTTGAGCTGGTTTTCCATTCCAGCCCTCAATAACTCCAATCCTAAGCTCCTAGCATGAGCCAATCCTCCATTGGCTGTGGATGGAAGGGGCGCCCCCCCACAGTGAATGTGTCCCTGTTCACCTGGACTTGTGCTGGACGGTTTCATTTGCACCTGCCCAAGACCACAGGGCATTCCTGCCCACTTTGGCGTTCAGCCCTGCTGGCTGGGATCCATTGTTCCAGCTTCCTGTTCCTCAGGCTTTTGTCTGGCACATGGCCTCAGGTGGCTTGTGGTGTTCCTTAGCAACCCCAAGCCCAGAAGAGGGTCCTTTAGCTAGCCTGTGCTGTTTCCAAGAGCAGGATTCCTACAGGTGCCCCCAGTCACAGCCCTAGGGAGCAGACCCTGGACAGTGCACAAGGGGGTGCTCTTAGGCACTGAAAATGATCCCAGCTTCTTGTCTCAACTGCTGACACTGCAGAATGGAACTGGCCTGGGTGACTGGGACACTGTTTTTCACGATAGGCATTTGGGGTCTCTCTCTACCTCTGTACCTCAGGCCAGAGGAAACCTCTGAAAGGAAGATGGAAGATCCCTCTAAGTACACGGTCTTCCCCAGGGTTGGCTTTCCCTCTACCATGATGACCAGACTGACCCATGAACCTATTCTCTGAGCCACAGGCCCCCACCCCACCCTGCTTGCTCAGCCTCTGGCCTTATCTCATTAGCAGCTTTGTGGGACTCTTTAGGGTGACTCCCTGCCATGAGAAACATTTTCCAGAGGGTTTCCTGCTGGGGTGACTAGTTTTGGAATCCCTGAGTCATTTCAGCTTCCAGGGAATCCTTGGGGGTGTGGGGGGTGGTAACGGGGAGACTCCTGGGGGCGGGAGCAAGGAAGGGTTGGCCCAACATCTGACGTTAGGAGTACCCTCCCAACACGTCCCTACTTGCCTGAGACTGATCTGGCAGCCAAACAGGGCTGGCATTCCTACCCCTGTGTCCCTGAGAAAAGAGGTCAGCACCTGCCAGGAAAGGGCAGGGGAAAATGGGATGAGCTACTTCTGTCCTTTGCTTGGAAAAGCTCTTGGTGCTTGCAGTGAGTTCAAATACAACTACCCCACAACGTATCAAAAGGGTACTCGTGCCCTTACCTGCTGCCTTGACATTTTAGTCTGTTCATGACCTTGGATGATCCTTCCGCACAGCCCTCCTCATTGGTAAGAGTGTACGTGGTATAGTATATGTGTACCTGGGAGGGTGGGGGGTGACATTGATGTGAGTGACCTTAGAGGTACCTAAGATTAGCTGCCCTGGACCTAAGGTCCTAAGACAGTGCAGCATCCACGGGATTCAGTTCATTTCTACTCATAAGAAGCTAGGACATGGATTATTAGGATACTGAGGTACTGCTCTTAGCAATGGGGCATCCCCACCACACTTCTCTAAGGACAAAGATGGATACTCTGGAACAGTATCCCCACATTCTTATTTGTAGGTGATAATGGCCCTGGCTGCTAATCATTTTAAAAGATTTATTTTTATTATTTTAATTAGGTGTATGGGGGGCGGGGGGAGTATGTGCACACGAATGCAAGTGCTCACAGAGGTCAGAGGTGTGAGATCCCCCTGGAGCTGGGGTTACAGACAGTTGTAAGCCACCTGATGTGGGTGCTGGGAATTGAACTCAGGTCCTCAAGAAGAGCAGTCAGTGCTCTTAACCACTGAGCCATCTCTCCAGCCTGCTAATTATTTTTAGTACAATTGATAACTACAGAATAATTAAGCTCAGAATTTCTGGGAAACACTTGGAGCTGGCAGATGAAGAGGGCAAGGACCCAGGAAAGGCACCTCTCCGAGGATAACTCAGTTTTGCCCTATATTCACAGCTCCTATGTCCATTCATCCACTCACCAAACATTTACTGAGCGTCTACTTACTACACACCAGTCGCTGACATTCTAAGTGTTAGAAATGAAGAGGAGCCGGGCGGCGGTGGCGCACGCCTTTAATCCCAGCCAGGTGGATCTCTGTGAGTTCGAGGCCAGCCTGGTCTACAGAGCAAGATCCAGGACAGGCACCAAAACTACACAGAGAAACCCTGTCTCGAAAATCCAAAAAGAAAAGAAGAAAAAAAAAAGAAATGAAGAGGAAGACAAGACAGACAATGCTGCTTTCAGATTATAATAGAAAACACTAGAACAGGGAGGCTGGAGAGGTGGCTCAGCGGTTAAGAGCACTGACTGCTCTTCTGAAGGACCTGGGTTCAATTCCCAGCACCCACATGGCAGCTCACAACTGTCTGTAACTCCAGTTCCAGGGGATCTGGCACCCTCACATAGACAATAAATACATTCAGGGAAAACACCAATGTACATAAAATAAAAATAAATAAAATTAAAAAAAAAGAGACGAAACAGTGCTATGACATAGGAAGGGCGCAGAGCTGCCGTGGAGGTGAGAGCCTGGAGACGGTGGGAAGAGACTCTGGGAAAGCCTCCCTCTTTGGCATGACGACAGGAAGGGTCTGGAGGAAGGAATGCCTAAGCAAAGTCCTAGAGGTGGGTAAGCATTTGACACATTTCAGACGCACACAGGACAACGTGAATGGAAAACTAGGGGTGAAGAGGAGAGTGGGGTGGGATGAGGTGGAACATCAGGGTGGGACAAGGAAGGAAGAAGATGGCTGGACCCTGCTGGGAAGAAGAAAGAGTAGAAAAGAAGGCTGGGCCTGGGAAGACAGAAAAGAGTTCCTTCTTTGCTGCTCCTTGAATGTGGCCAGGGCAGACCTTGGCACGAGGCTGCTCTCTGCAAGGTTTCAGCCCCGGAGGAGTTTTCTCCTCTGTCTGTACCCTGGGGCCAGAACTCTTCCTATTTGAACTCCCGAGTACCTTCAGAGGGCAGAAGAAAGGCTCCCACTCCCTTGACTAAGAACATCTTGTTTTCATGAAAGAGCTGTTATTCGAAGAAAATTCGCTATTTTTGAAGAAAAGCAAAGTGCTAGGCACTTTCCATCCGAGTTCTCCTCACCAAAGCAAGGAGGAATTCAAACTCCAAGATGGTCTATGACTTGACCAAGGTAACATGGCTAATAAGCCATGACTCCTTCCCAGTACAGAAGCTGCCCCTTACCTGTGTTCATTCCTGAGGCCCTGAGAGCCCCGCCCATCGCTCAAACTACTACCTTCCCTGGACCGTTCACATCCTTTCTCCTTAGCTTCTGGCCTGTGTCTATTTCTCTATGCCCGTCCGAGCACTTAGGTCTGGGGACCAAAGTGTCCCATCCACCTGTGTTTTTGTACTGGTGACCCTGGGTAAGGGGTCATACCCCGTCACTCCCCATCATGCCACGGCAGCCAAGCTAGATCATCTCCCCCCAGAGACTGGAGTCTGGAGGACAGAAGGTCTTCCCTAGTGACCACTGCCAGTCACACTAGAAATGGGACAGGAGAACTCTCACTCCGGATGTATTTAGACACTTTAAAGTTCCTTTTCGTTCTCATGGAATCTGAGTATGTTCAAGGCCTCCGAGTCGTGCATGAGGTCTGCACACCAGCACTACTGCTGAGCCTGGCCAGAGCCATCACCGTCCATCCTGGGTTCATCCGGGAACTCTCACTGAGCCATCCCCTAAATGCTACCTCTCCCCTCTGCAGGGGGTTCCACGGAGTAAGGTGGCAAAGGGTCTGGGGCAAACACTCTCCCCACAGGCGGTCCTGGGAAGTGCCTGTGGGTAAGCCTGTGGAACACTGAGACGCCTTGGAGGAAGGAGTGGCCTCCAAGCCTCCCGTTCACAAAAGTCCTTAAATACGATTTCAGAAGCTCTCTCCTAAAGAGGTTACGACTAAGCTCGCTATTTCGTGCTTTAAGCGTTCATTTGTTAAACGTAAACACTGGGCATACACTGCAGCTTTCCACCTCTGTTTAGCAGCTTGCTTTCCAAATACCAGGGACATCCCCACCCCAGCTCCAGTGGAAGAAGACAGGGCTCTCTCAACCCTCCAAGAAGCTCTGATGTGTATCTCTTCAAAGTAAGGGCCAGCAAAGAGGGGTGACTGGAGGGAGGCCGGCAGGAAGAGTTTAGAAGGCAAAGAGATCGAGTTCAGCTGAAAGTCCCGATTCCAGGCCCTCTGAAAGAGTTCTGCCCACGGTCTCCACCCCAACGGCTCCAGTAGCAGCGAGAGCCAACCAGAAGAAGAGAAACAGGCCCAGACCGGCAAAGGAGGCTAAAAGGCGGCGCAACCGGCCAGCCTGCGTTCTAGGGCCAGACGCTCAGGCTTCACGTTTTCTTCTCGAGGGCCAGAATCTTTGTTCGACACCAGACTCCAAGCCTGTGCCCGGCTGGACCTCCCCGGCTCGCCCTCCCGCCGCCCGCTGCAAAGTCAGCCACGGTGAAAAAACCGCCAGGAGCCCAGCGCGGCGGAAGCAGCGCGTTCCCTCCCGGGGGGGAAAAGACAGATGTGGGGCTAATGAAAGGGAGGCAGGGAGAGGCGTGGGGCTGGCGGGGGAGAGCGGGGGCGTGGCGGGCAGAGCCGAGCTCCCCCGAGCGCGCAGACCAGACCACCCGCCGGTCGGCCGCGCTGGTCCGGAGGACGAAGGTGCAGGGACCAGGGGCCCGGCTAGGGCGTGCCGTTTGGCCCGAGGGTCGGGAGCTGAAACTCTACACCGCCGCGGAAAGGATCGTCCCCTTTCTCCGCAGCTTCCCCTTCCCCCTCCCTCCCCTTCTCTTAATCCCCTGGACTGAGACCCCGAGGGAGGAGTGGGCCCGGTGGGGGGGGAGGAGACAGAGCTTGCTGAGTCCCCGGGAGCCGGAGCACCCCGGGCAGGGGAGGGAAGGGGCGCGGTGTGAGAGGGGTGAGCGGGGCCACGCGCGACCCGGGACCTCTTCTAGCCCTCAGTGCCCGCACCCCGACCCCAAGCGAGCCTGCAAGGACCGCTCCTCCCCTTCTCTGCTCCCTTGGCTCTGTGGCCTTTTTCTTCGTTCCCCAAGATAACCAGGAGCTTCCCTAAGCTTCGGGGCGCGCCGAGGGGCCGGGTCCAGGGAGTGTGAACGGGGACTGGGTGCCCGGGGCAAAGGGTGGCGCGCACCCACGGGCGCTGAGACCGAGAGGTGCCTGGCGGGGCAGTGCTGAGAACGAAGGGTGGCCCGGAGAGCCCGCCTCGGTGCGGGCCTGGGCAGAGCGGCCAGCTCCACCGCCACGCGCTCGTGGGCCTTCGGCGGCGGCCTGCCTGGGCGCTGACTTGGGCGAGTTTGGAGCCACGCAGTGGAGTTCTCGCTCCTCCACCTCCTCCTCCTCCTCCTCCTTCCCCGCGGGTCCCGCCGCAGTGCCCCGGCAGCCGCGACCACAGTCCTGGGAGCACCGCTCTGCGCCGCGGGGGGGAGGGTTGGCCCCAGGAGTCGCTCGTCCAGCCCAACCACCCGGGCAGCTTCTCCCAGCCCTCGGGGCTAGCCTGAGCTGCCTGGAGAGAGGCGTCGAAAGCAGCCGCAGCTCCTGCCTCCTGCCTCCTCGCCGGCCTGGGACGGGAGCTTTGGGCCCATGTGTGGCCAAGAGGCCTCTGCAGCCTAAGGCCACAGCCGTGGGGGGCCTTGTGCCCCCCCGGGAGACCCTGGAGACAGTTTAGATCGCGCCCCTTGGATGAGGTCCCGCAGCGACGCCCAGGCCCGCCCCATTCCTTCTCCTGCCTGGCCAAGCTGCCTCCCTTTTGGAAAGTTTTGTGGGTTTTCTTTCTCTTCCTCCAACTTTGGGGGAGGCATCTCGTCAAGCGCCACAGCTTGGGGTGACCTTCTGGCTTGGAGGCCGGGAACCATGGCGAGGGGCAGCCATCGCTGAAGTCAGCGAAACTGAGCCTGGTCTGACGACGGCGACGCTGGAGGCCAGAGCCATGGCCATTGCCACGTCGGTGAGTCCACCAGGGAGAGGAGGCTTGCCAAGCAGAGACCCCCCCAACCCGCTCTTTGGCACTGTCGCGTTTATTTGTACCCAATCTTTGTGACCTCTTCTCCCAGAAGCTGTGTCCTCTCTCTTTGTTTTCTTTCTCCCTCTCCCGGTGCCTTCTGGTTCTGGGTTGGCCCCTCCTCCCCTCTCCCTACTCTCTTTCTTTATAGTGGCTGTGGTTAGACGGAGGAGTGGGGGAGTGTAACCCCAGCCCTATCTGCTCTTTTCTGGGTGGGAACAGGTGGCCACTGGTGGTTGGCAGGGGCTCGGGACTGGGAGGTAAGTAAAAGGAGTTTTCTGGCAGAGACCAGGCAGCCCAAGGGAAATGGAAGGCCAAGGAAGCCCAACTCTAGAAGGTTGGAAAAAATGGGGCCCGTGAACAAGCAGGGGAACATAATATAGAAGAGGGGAGATGGTATCAGCCTGCCTCGGGCCACTGTCTGGTAACTGGGGACAAAGGGAAGCTTGCTGGGATTGCAGGAGGAGGCCTACCAGAAAATTCAGTGGCACACCACCACCCCAGTAAGTCAGCCATTCCCTCACCAGTCAGCTAGGCCCCTAGGAGGAGATAGAGTAGGGTGATCACACCCATTATCCATCATTCTCTCAGCAGCTCTGGCCTGGGTTTAGGCAAACGGCAAAGCACGGGGCCCCATTGGGTAGAATTCAAACCTAATACAGGGAGGAGCCACACAGCCCCACCTCTGCTCTGTCCTGGAGTCTGTAGAACAAGCCCATTCCTCCTCACACTTCTCCAGCCCTTGCTGGGCATTCCCAGGGAAGGCCACCTGCCTCCCCACACTCTGGCTGTGGGAAGGAAAACTATGAACGTAAAAAGCATGGACCGCAGGGCACCCACCCTCCTGTTCCCCGTGAGCATGGTTCCAATTTTCATTCCTTAGACAAAACCCTTTAGTCCCTTGGTGGCAGGGTGCCTTTGGGAGTGCCAGAGCTGCTGTCAGCACCCTGGAGTTACTGTCACCTTTGAAGTCCAGAAGGTGTGTGGGGGAAGGGTATTCATACTAAGGAAACTCGCAGGACCGATCATAACAATAGTGACATTTATAATTTACGCACCTGGCCCTGTGCTAAATTTTGCCGTGATCTTTTGGTGCGTTGTTTCGTGGAGCTCTCAACTTTATGAGGACATGTTACCATCCCAAAATAGGTATTTGGCTATCGATAGAATTCTTCAAGGGAGGAAACTACAGTACAGTGATGTTTAAAACCAGTTTAAGGTATCCAGGCAAGAAAGGGACTCAACCCCAAGACCACCTGCACTTAGAACTTTGTCTTAATCTCTGGCTAGATCCAAAGTACTAATTTCTGGTTTTCAGTTAGAACGAAAGGTGTAGGGGCTGGGGACATGGCTCAGTTGGTAAAGTGATTTCTGCCTGAACTAAGGACCTGGGTTTGGTCCCTGGCACCCATATAAAAAGCCATGTGCAGGGGTGTGTACCTGCAATCCCATCACCGGAGAGGCAGAGATAAGAGGATCCCAGACATTTGTTGACTACCTGGTCTAGCTGAATCAGTGAGCTCCAGATTCAGACTCTCTCAAAAACATTAATAAAGTGGAGCGTGAGTAAGGAAGATGCCCACCATCAGCCTCTGGCCTCCTCCTCATGCGTGTGCATACACATGGAAGGGAGGGAGAGTACAGAGCCAACCAGCAATCAGTGTTACGTGTTTAGTGTGCTTTCTCTTTGTAGACTGTATCCTTTAGAAGCTGCAGTATAATCAGAAACAGTGTGGTGCGGGCCAGGCCTGTAGCTTAGTGGTAGAGCATTTGCCTGGCATGCAGAAGGACCTGCGTTTGGCCCCAGCACCCTGAGGAGGGAAGGAAAGGTGGGTGGTTGTTTGGAAGGAGTGAAAGGGCTGGACAACTTGCCTTCTGGTACAAAGCGGATCCCAGAGGACCAGCCTGCTTGTGAGTGAACAGACCTTCCTTCTCCCGCCGTCTAGCAGCATCCCGCTGCTGATGGAGATTTGTCTGTCTGTTTGATGATGATGTTTGTTTGTTTGTTTTTTATAGTATTACAGATTGAACCTAAAACCTCAAACATTCTAGGGAAGTGTGCTTGCTATCCCTGAGTTACATACTCAGATACTCGGTGGTTTTGTTTGTTTGTTTTGAGGCAGAGTATGATGTAGCTCAGACTGGCCTTAAACCCCTGATCCTCATGCCTCCACTTCCCACGTGCAGGGGTAACTGGCGTGTGCCACCACAACCCCAGTAGCAAAAGATAGACTCCAGGGCTTTGCGCATGCTAAGGTGACCACTCCACCAACTGAGTTACACCCCAAGTCCCCCAGCCTTCTTCTCATTTTGAGATAGGGTGTTACTCGGTTGCCCAGGCTGGCCTCAAACTTTCAACCAGAGGATGGCTTCAGTCTCCCAAGTAGCTGAGATTGTAGGCCTCTGTTGCCAGACTCGGTTTAACAAAATACTTTTACTTATCTATTGTAGTTATGTGTACGTGTGTATCTGCGTGTGGCTATGTACACATGAGTGCAGGTGCCCTCAGAGGCTAGAGGCATTGGATCCCCTGGAACTAGACTAACATGTAGTTGTAAGTTAGGTAGTGTGGCTGCTGAGAACCAAACGTGGGTCCTCTGGAAGATGAGTGTCCACTTTTAACCACGGAGCCATCCCTTCAGGCCCTGACTGGAGACTTTTAACTGAATTAGAGAGTCCACCTGGCTACCTGGCCAGCAGTGTCTGCCTGACTGTTCTCCGGTGTCTCTGGGTGAGCCACAGCTGCCTGGGATCCTCCTGGCAGTCGGTCATTGAGAAATCACAACTGAAGCCGATAATGTGCTGTGATATTCTGAGTGGATAAAATAAACTCAGGTCTACTAAAGGACATCATGGAATAAGAGCACTGAGGAGCTAGAACTGAGGGCGGTCGAGTACAGGAGCCATACACACACCTTACTCACCGGGGAGTCACTGTTCCTCTACTCTACTGATGTGCTAATACAATAAAAAACTTTAAAAGAAAGAAGGGTTGGTGAGATGGCCTAGTAGGCCGAGGCACTTGAGGCCAAGTCTAATGGCACAAGTTCAGTCCCCAGAACCCACCCGGTGGAAGGAGAGAACCGGCTCCTGCAGGTTGTCCTCTGTCCTCCACGTGTGCACTGTGACATGCATACACACAAACAGAATACATACATGTGGAAAGGACATCACACTTGTGGTTGTAGATGGGCCACAGAGAGCGCTCTTGAGGGAGTCTAGGCTCTGACGTCAGTCCACGCTCTGACGAGTGCATCAGCCACATGCCACGGGACCACGCCTAAACCTGTGTCCTGTTTTCCTCTAACATGGAGATTATGAGAATTAGATCTAGTGTAAAGACTGAAACAGTCCCTGGCGCTTTGAGTTTGTGACTTGGTACCTGAGCTCATGGCCCTCAATGGGAAAAGCTTCGGTTCCCTGCTAGACAGGCCTGGAAAGAGACGTCCTCCCGTCCTGCCTCTGCCTCTTCTGGTGGAACTGTGGTTGTCCAGGCTAGGAAGAGCAGTGGCTTCTGTTTGCTTGCTTTCTCAAGCATGCCTTAACACTCCGTCTACACGAGGCTTCTTCCAGGCTCCCTCAGAAAGGTGGGTCTCCATAGTTGCTCAGTCTAACCTTTTACTTGGAGGAGTAATCACTGGGGGACAGAGGGAACACAAAAGAAATTCTGTGCGAGATCTCTTCATGTGCTCAACAAACGTGTATGGAGGACCAGTTCTGAGTGGGACCCTACTGTAGGGGTGTAGCAGCCCCTGTTCTTACAGGGCTTTTAGTGTCGTAGCAGAACTCAATAATAATGCAACCTAAGTAATAGAGTTCTGAAGGAAACAGTAAGTGGATACAGACACGGAATGTGATGGGAAGGGAGTAAAAAGGCCTCCCTTGAGGAGACATTTTCTCAGAGCTGAAGGATGACAAAGGATCAGTCAGATGGAGTCAGGAAAGAGTACTTGGAGTAGGGAAAATATAAGTGCAAAGGCACCAAGATAGAAAAGAGCTAGGTCAGAGACCGAGAAGGAAGAGGAGTGTGCCCTCCATGACGGTGGCCAGGCAGAGCCTAATCGGGAACAGCGATATGGTATATTTTTTTTTAAGCTTGAATGGAATGGGAGGCTGGTCTAGTCTCTACGTGCCCTCGTGTCTGTGTGTGAGAACTCTCCTCTCCTAACCTCCCCTACCAGGCCCAGCTTGCCAGGGCCCTCTACGACAACACTGCTGAGTCCCCTCAGGAGCTGTCCTTCCGCCGAGGGGATGTTCTACGGGTACTCCAGAGGGAGGGTGCTGGTGGACTGGACGGCTGGTGCCTTTGCTCCCTGCGTGGCCAGCAGGGTATTGTGCCTGCAAACAGAGTCAAGCTCCTGCCTGCTGGCCCGGCACCCAAGCCTAGCCTCTCCCCAGCGCCTCTCACCCAGCCTGGCTCATCATGTCCCACCCCAGAGCGTGGCAGTGAGGAACAGGAGGTAAGAACTGGGGCCTCTCCTCGTCCCAGGCCTGCCTGGCATTCTTGGCCCACTCCAGGGCCTGGGGATAGGTGTCGGGGAGATCCTGACTGAGTCGTTTTGCTGGCTGACGTCTCACTGCCGCCTGCTTCCAAGCTCAGCACAGGGAGTGTGGAGGGAGGAGGAGGATACAGTGTCTGTAAGTTCCTGAAGTCACGCACCTGTGTCAACCAACGACTTCCACTCCTGACATACTCTTCATCCCTTAGGTGTATGTGGTACCACCACCAGCTCGACCCTGCCCTGCCTCGGGACCTCCAGCTCGATCCTGCTCACCCTCTCCCGAGTCCATCTACAAGGTCCCCAGAGTCAATGGGACACAGCTGACTGCCCCCAGAGATGTGTTAGAGGTGTGAGCTCTGTGTATGTTGGATGAGGGCCAGAATTCTCAGGGGTGGTCTACTGCTGAGCTGAAGGCTAACACTGATCCCTCCCTCCAGGTCTATGATGTGCCTCCCAACATCCTCCGGGCTCCCTCCAACTGTCCGTATGACTCCCCAGCTTCCTTTTCCTGTCCTCTGGCTCCAGTTGTCCCAAAGACCCCTGGAGAGGATGAAGCTCCCTACGACGTGCCTCTAGCCTTGAAGCCATCTGCCGAGCTGGAGCCAGATCTGGAGCCAGATCTGGAGTGGGAAGGGGGCCGGGAACCAGGGCCTCCCCTCTACGCTGCCCCTTCAAACCTGAAACGGGCCTCAGCTCTCCTCAACCTGTATGAAGCCCCCGAGGAACTACTGGCAAATGGGGAGAGCAGGGACACAGATGAAGGCATCTATGATGTGCCGCTGCTGGGGCCCGAGTCACCGTCTCCAGAGTCACCCTCTCCAGGAGCGTCTTCCTCCACTGACCTGGACACTGTGGCCCAGCTTCTGACCAAAAGTCCTCCGCCCCAGCACAGGCCCAGGCTGCCCTCCACCGAGAGCCTGTCCCGCCGCCCTCTGCCTGCCCTGCCTGTCTCTGAGGCTCCCGCCCCTTCCCCAGCTCCCTCTCCTGCCCCAGGCCGAAAGGGCAGTATCCAGGACAGGCCTCTACCCCCTCCCCCACCCTGCCTGCCTGGTTATGGGGGCCTCAAACCTGAGGGAGATCCAGAGTGCAGGGAGGCAGACGATGATCCAGCAGGCCCTCACAACGAGTATGAAGGCATCCCGATGGCTGAGGAATATGACTACGTGCACCTCAAGGTGAGACCCTGGGCAGCCCCGCCAGGAGGGTCTCCCGAGCTCTTTCCTCCCCTCTGGCCTTCTGCCCTCCAGCCTGGGACTCCAGCACTCGTCCACACCACTTGAGCGAGTGCCACATCCAACCCTAATCCCAGCACAAAGCTAAACAGCTGTCCTGGGCAGTGCTAGGACTTCAAACTTTGATGCCAGGAATACTTTCCTGAAGGAGGGGAGGAGGGAGGGGCCCAGAGGCCATGGAGGCCTGCAGTCTGCCCCCTTTCCCTACCACTGACACGGGATCCCTCTGCAGGGTGTGGATAAAGCTCAGAGTTCTAGACCCCTGGATAAAGCTTTCCCAGCGGATCCCGAATTGCTGGAGAGGGGGCTGCCGGAACAGCAGGTAAACCTGGAGGGGTGTGCTAGACAAGACGGACTGGAGCCGAAGGGAGTAGATAAATAAATATTCCTGACCAAACGGTCCCTGAGATAGGGTGGGGCGGGCCTGAGATGGGAAGCGAGGACAGAGCAAAGAGGAGTTAGTCAATAGAAGGTGCTGGAACATGGCAGAGTTCAGTGGGAATTTAGGAAAAGAGGGAGAATGTGCTGGAAAGAAGTCAGGTAGCTAGGAGAGCAGAAAGAATTTCTGGGCGATGGATCAGAGCTGGCCAGGTGCCTTCTCTCCAGCAGTGAATTCCTGGGTTCCTAAGAAACTAAGCTGCGCTCCACCACTGAGTAACCTGGGGTTCTGTAGCAATTGCTTTATCCTTCTGGGCCTTGAAAGGGAGGCAGTTTCCTCAGCCCCATTTATACCTGAGTTTAGCCAAGGCCAGGAGGCCGAACAGTAGCCCCCGTTCATCAGGTATTTCCCGAGTCCCAGATCCTGTGCTAGGAAGGCTGCATGTGCCATCACGGTCACAGGTAATGCTCATGCGGTACTTACACCGCATGCAGTACACTGTGATAAGCCAGTTCAACATTTTGTCTCAGTTGGTGTTCACTGTATCCTGAGATCCAGGCTAGACCATCTAATAGTTAACCTCGTGTGGCTTCTGAGCGCTTGGAATGTGGCTAGTTTGAACTCAAGTGGGGTGTATATCAGAGGCTGGTGCGGTGGTTTGGTGGATAAAGGCGTTTGCTCCAAGCCTAACGCCCTGACCTGGACCCTTAGGACCCACATGGTGGAAGAACTGGCTCCCATAAGTTGTCTTTTGACCTCCACATACATGCTATGGCATGTTTGCAGCACACATGCACAGTCACTCACACTAAATAAATGTTTAAAAACTAAAATACAGCCCAGCGGTGGTACCGCACGCCTTTAATCCCAGCACTCGGGAGGCAGAGTCAGGCTGATCTCTGTGAGTTCGAGGCCAGCCTGGGCTACAGAGGGGAGATCCTGGACAGGCACCAAAACTACACAGAGAAACCCTGTCTCAAAAAAAACCAAAACAAAAACAAAAAACAAAAAACAAAAAAAAAAAACATATCCGGGTTCTTTTTTTAATATAGCCGTGACTGACTTTGAACTCACAGTGAGCCTCCTGTCCCAGGGCCCCAAGTACTGGAGGTACAGGTGTGAGCGACTATGCTCAGCTCAGACTTGATTTTGCAGAGCTGGTATGAACATAAGTCAGTTGATCACATTTGGATGCTCTGACTTTTTAAACATTTGGACGTAGATAACATTTTTACTTTTTTTAATGTGGCTGCTAAAAACATGGCTTGTGTCGTTTACGTTGGACAGTATAGAGCTCCACTCTCTGGCTGGCTTTGCTTGCATCTGTTTGTTCTGGAGATACTGGGAGTCAAGTCCAGGCCTTACCCAGACTGGGCAAGTCTAGGACAAAGAGCCCCATCCCCAGCTCTAGGCTCCTGAGACAGAGAACCAAGGAAGTTCAGCGACTTCTCTGAAGTTGCCTGTTTGAATCCAGACCTCTCTGTCAACTCTGGTCCCTGAGAATCTCAGTTCTCTGAGGGTGAGAAAGAGCTGAAGGGATCGCACTCAACAGGGAGCAGAGGGGATGAGGGAGACAAGCAAGAGTGGACGCGGCCTTGCCGACCCTGTCCTCACTGACCCTCCTCTTGCTCCACAGGAAGTCCCGTCCCCCGAGGAGCCGCTGGTCCTGTCCACTGGAGACCTACAGCTTCTGCATTTCTACGCAGGGCAATGCCAGAGCCACTACTCGGCCCTGCAGGCCGCCGTGGCAGCCCTCATGTCCAGTACCCAGGCTAACCAGCCGCCGTGCCTCTTCGTGCCCCACGGCAAGCGAGTGGTGGTGGCCGCTCACCGCCTGGTGTTCGTTGGGGACACCCTCGGCCGGCTGGCAGCCTCCGCATCTCTCCGAGCACAGGTTGGGGCTGCAGGCTCAAGGCTCGGCCAGACTTTGCGGGCCACTGTGCTTGCTGTCAAGGGGGCCGCCTTGGGCTACCCGTCCGGTACTGCAGTCCAAGAGATGGCGCGATGCGTAGCGGAGCTCGCGGGGCAGGCCCTGCGCTTCACCACCCTGCTCGCTGGCCTGCTCCCCTGAGCGCCCCTTGGTGCAGCCTTAGCTTCCCCTGCCTGCCAGAGCCCTGCTCCATGTTGACGGTGGCTAGAGGACTCTGCTTGAGGGAAGGAGAGGGTCCTTCCCCTTTTCATCTCTGGGTCATCTCAGCCACTCGCCAAGGCATCTCTTCCCGCCCCCCCTCCCCATACCTACTGCTTTTTGTATGAGCCATTTTGTATAAATTATTTATATTTAATATTTCTCGCTTTGTCCTCGTCAGCCTGGGGTAGAGGTTGCTGTACTGCCTTCTGCCTTTTGGGGGGTTTGGAACACGGAAAGTCAGGTCGCTGAGACTTGGAGCCACACAGAGCCCCTCTCCCGTTTCTTGGCTGAAGATGACCAGCACCTCACTCTCTTCTGAGAGTGGGCCAGGGCAGTAGTTGCCCAGAATGTAATAGTCTGGGGAACATTGGAGGGCTCGTCCCCTCACAGGTCAGGCAAGCTGGCTATGGGCATGGCATGTACCTCAATAAACCCTCCATCTGGTTCCCCGACTCTGCTTCTTGAGAGCCGGAGGGGGAAGACCTGCACCCCTCACCATTCCTGTGGGACACACAGGATGAGGGATAATTTTGCTCCTTCAAAATCTATTCGGTAGACTAGTCCTCAGCTCCTGCAATGGGCCAGACAAAGTTCTACAGGTACACAGTGAATGTACTCTTCCAGCAAAACTGGGGTAGACATCAAGTCAATTACTGTGAGTGCGTTAAGGAAAAACAAACAAAAAGCCAGATGTCAGGATGCATACCTTAAATCCCAGCACTTGGGAGGCAGAAGCCGGTGGATCTGAGTTAGAGGCCAGCCTGGTCTACATTATGAGACCCTGTCTCAAATGAGTTGTTGGTGATGGAAATAAATGGGTGATAAAGAGAGACTAGGTGAATGGGGCGATTGGGGAGGGAGATCCTGACCAGGAAGGCTGGGAGGTGATTGCTGAGCTGACACAGAATGGAAGAACCAAATAGGGTCTGTGGCTAGTGCCTCCAGACTTCGTTGTCACGTGATGTCATTGAAGAGGTGCAGATGCGGAGAATTTGGCCACAACAGCCTCAAAAGGTCCCTCTTTCAAGAGCACCCCAACTAGAAAGGTAGCCTCAGTTTCCCACCACAGGCCAACGCTAATCAACCGGAAGGCTGCTGGTGGCTGATTGGCGTCCTTAGGTGACTTCCGGAGAGTCCATCCCTTCCGCTTTACTCGGGTCCATCGCTTAGAGTAGCTGAGACCGCAGATGAATGCAGGAGGTTAGAAAGCAGGAGGTTAGAAGGACTGTGATGCGATTAGAGCCCATGGCTTAAATGACATTCACTCCAGCCATTAACCACAAGAGAAGGCAGCCATCGTCGCCTCGGCTGTGGTTTCCCAGGAACCTGGCTCGGTGACTGTGTCAGGGCACCTCACGTTTCAGTCAGACTCTTTGGATCTGAGCACCCCTGTGCATCTGCTGCTTCGGTTTTGAGCACCTTTCTCATCCCGCCTGAAGGGAAACATTGTCAGATACGGGAGCCGACAAAGTCACCCCATACACTGAAGGCCATCCCCATCTCCCAGTTACGCTTTCCAGAAAGGACCCTGAACTTGGAAAAGGGGTCGTCTTCAGTTCAAATCTTAGATGTGTCATGAGTTCAAGTCTTAGCTGTGTCATGTACTTGTGTGTCTGTGGGTAAATCACCCCTCTCTCGAGTCCTGCCTTTAGCTTTAGTATGAGGGTCTTACAGGATTTTGGAAAACAAAAAAAAATGCATAAAATTAAAGAATTATTAAGCTGGGCTACCAAACATCTTTACTCCTAGCACTTAGGAAGCAGAAGTAGGTGGATTTCTGTACCTGGTCTACATAGTGAGACCATGTCTTTAAAAAAATATTAAGGAATTATTGTTTCAAGATAGAGGATTGGAGCCCAAATAGCCCCGGTGAATTTGGGCCATAAGAAGCACAGTAAGTAATTCTGAGAGACACTAAGGGGAGATGGTCTGAGGGTACTTACGTCGGAGAAGAGTTGCCTGTATTTGGAAACTTTCTGAGCAGAGGAAGTAATGAAGGAATGATTCGGTGGCCTAGACTTCTTCCAGTGTGGCTCGGGAGAAAAACAATAGCATAAGATTTCTTTACTGAGACTTGGTACTCCTTTCTGGACTTCTGTGGTTGAGGGTGACATCTGTTTGAGGAATACATGCCTAATTTTAATATCTGCATGCCTGGTTATCCAGTTGAAAATTACAGTTCAAGGGTCTAGATAATGCCAAGATTGTGCATTTTTAGCAGTCTCCCAAGCGGTACAGATGCTGTGAATCCTTCAGCCACACTTTGCATACCAAGTGTGTGGCTCAGGAGAGGTTTCTTGGAGGCAAAGATGCTTCACCTGACAGCCAAAGGATGAGGGGATGTTGAAGAAGCCCTTGAGCATAGGAACCAGCTTGTGCAAAAGCCCTGTGATGCTGGAAAAAACGGAAAGAGAGCCAGCCGGGTGGTTGAAATGCGGAGTTGGGGAGGGGGGGCGGGGAGAGAAGTGGAATGTGGCTACTGAGGGCACATGACAAGGCATGTAGGCCCAGGTGTGCATTGTCTGGAAATGTTTTCCTTGGTGAGAGAAGTCATTGAAGGCAGTTGAGCTGGAGACACAGTCAGACCTCCATTTGGGGGCCTGGCAAGGTGGTTCGGAATGCAAACTTGGCAGTCACCCTTCTCCAGAATCCATGAAAAGATGGAAGACCTCTAAAGTTATCCTCTGACCTATAACATACACAGCGTGGCGTGCACACCTACCCAGACACAGCACCACTTATACACTAATAAAAAAAAAAAAATTTAGCCGGGCGGCGGTGGCGCACGCCTTTAATCCCAGCACTCGGGAGGCGGGCGGATCTCTGTGAGTTCGAGGCCAGCCTGGGCTTCAGAGTGAGTTCCAGGAAAGGCGCAAAGCTACACAGAGAAACCCTGTCTTGAAAAACCAAAAAAAAATTAAAATCTCAAGTAACAGATGGGGAGAAACGAAGTGGGCTCATAACACCGGTTGGTAACTAAGTACAACAGTCCACCTGCGCGAGAGAACTATAGAGGAAGTAACATAGGTAGAATCTTGTGAGGGACGTCATGAGGTGAAGAAGGCATTCCAAGGGCAAACAGCGAACATCTGACCATAGGTGCATGTTGAGGGTGCCATTTCCTCAAAGAGGGAAGCATCTCAAGATACCCAGATTATGGGGGAGGGCGTCTCATGATTCCTCTCTTGAGGACCCGAAGAGAGAGACATTCAAGGTTATGTGGGTTACCAAGAGGTTGCTTCACTGACCCAGGACTCTGAGAAGAGGTGGAAATCGGAAACAGGTGTGTATTGTCTGGGTCGATGGGGTCTATGCACATAGCACCGAGGCAACGGTGTGAGATGAGAAGGTGGCAGAAGCTCTAAGTGATGCTGAAGAAGAGGAGGAGGAGGAGGAGCATGTGACTGCTGTGGAGAAAACAAGCCAGGAGAAGGTGAGACTTGGCAATCAAAGGAGGAAGTTTAGAAGATGAGGTGGTCAACAGTGCCAAATGTTGCTGGAAAATGGTGAGTCAATCAAGTTGGATGTGTGGAAACCCAGAGACCTGTCCCCCAGCAGAGCACTGAAGCTAGAGAGCGACGCACGCACGGTGCCAACCAATTCCTCCATCTGCATAAACCATCCTGCAATTACGGAATTACATATCTGCCTCCCCTAGAAACCATCTCTAAGGGTATCTTGTCCATCCTTTAACCCTTCAGACCTCACGGACGGCCTGAGATACAGTAGGCACTTAATAAATTGTATCGATAAAATGAATGTGGAGGGGTGGAGGGTGGATGACTGAGTGAAGGAGAATGAGGAGGAACCGCGGCGTTCGCCCCAGCTATCTCCCGTCCTTCACCTCCCTTTTTCTTTTTTTTTTTTTCTTTTTTAACCGCAATGGCCTGCAGCCCCAAGGAACAAACAACGGAGACCCCGACCCCTACTTCCACGCGGGCCCTGGCCCCCCTTCATCTCTGACGAACAGTCTGGACCCAGGTTCTGCTGACGTGGGAAGGGGAGGAGAGTCTGGAGGAAGGGGAGGGGAAAGCAGCGCAGAGACAGTAGAGACGGAGGAGGCGCCCGCGGCTGCAGAGCTGCAGAGCGGGGTCTCCTGGCCCTCTGCGTCCCAGCCAGCCCTCCGCTCGCAGCCGGGCCAGACAACAGTTCATCCTTTCGGCGCGGCCCCCCTGGGCCCCTGCGGTCGCCAAGCTGGCTCCCCGAGTGGCCACCGGGACCCCCGAGCCCAATGGCGGGGGCGGCAGCAAAATCGACAGCACCGTGGAGATCTCCCCCAACGCCAATGGAGTAAGTGTCTGCGCCCGGGGCGCGGGGGGGGGGGGGGGGGGGGCTCTGCCGACCTCTCCCCGCCCGCGCCGTGCGCCCCGCCTCCCCGCCCGCTTCCCCCCCTCATCCCCCCCGCGTGCCCACGGCCTCCCCCGCCTCACCTTCTCTCCCCCACCCCTCGCCGCAGCAGGTCGGGAGCCTCGGAGATGCGGTGCCCCCCGAGCAGCTGCAGGGTGAGCGGGAGCGCCGGAGGGAGGGGGAGGGCGACGCGCTGGGCAGCAGCCTGTCGCTGGCCGCGCCCCCGGGCCCCCTCAGCTTCGAGGCTCTGCTCGCCCAGGTGGGGGCGCTGGGTGGCGGCCAGCAGCTGCAGCTCGGCCTCTGCTGCCTGCCCGTGCTCTTCGTGGCGCTGGGCATGGCCTCAGACCCCATCTTCACGCTGGCGCCCCCGCTGCACTGCCACTACGGCGCCTTGCCCCCCAACGCTACGGGCTGGGAGCAGCCCCCCAACGCCAGCGGCGTCAGCGTCGCCGCCGGAGCGGCCCTAGCAGCCAGCGCCGCCAGCCGAGTCCTCACCAGTACCGACCCGTCGTGTAGTGGCTTTGCCCCGCCGGACTTCAACCACTGCCTCAAGGACTGGGACTATAACGGGCTCCCAGTGCTCACCACCAATGCCATCGGTCAGGTGAGGCAGCCGGGCGGGATCTGGAGTGGGAGCGGACCAGGGCAGCGAGGGCCCGGCCTGATGCGGCTGCACCTCTCTTCTCGTGTCCCCAGTGGGATCTGGTGTGTGACCTGGGCTGGCAGGTGATCCTGGAGCAGATCCTCTTCATCTTGGGCTTTGCCTCCGGCTACCTGTTCCTCGGTTACCCCACGGACAGGTGAGGACTTTTGTGGGGGCAGGGCTGATAGAAAGGAGGGGGTGCTGGCAGCTGGGATTGCAAGAGGACAAGGATGGTTCCATTGACTGTATTCTACAGTCTCCTCTGGACTCCTGTGTTTAACAGCCTATCTCAGCTTCAGTTTCATTCCCCCATCAAGAAATACACCTTCCATACCCACTTCCACACAAGGAAATGACCTCATGTTTGTGACCTCTTACCCTATCCCCACTGACCAGGAGATCCATATCCATAAGTCAATGGCCTCATCTCCAAAGTTAAACATCACTTCCTCAACC